TGTAAAAAAAAAAAAAAAAAAGAAATTATCAATTCCCAACTTGACTCTCACTGGGATTAAACATGACAATAGGTCTGCTCTGATTTCATCATCATTTAAAAAAAATCATCTATTATTTTTCACTTTATGTTTCTGTGTGGGAGCAAACTGTTGAAATCCATACTTAATGTATACTAAGCTGATCTTCTGTATATTAAGATAATCGAAAATGAATCTTGATGTGAATGGAAGGGGAGAGGAAGTGGGAAAGGGGAGGGTTGTGGGTGGGAGGGACGGTATGGGGGAGGGAAGCCATTGTATTCCATGAGTCGTACTTTGGAAATTTATATTCATTAAATAAAAGTTTAAAAAAAAAAATAACATGCTAAGGCTTAGCTTGCTGACCATTGGCAATAGTTACTGCTGTGTGGATGTTTATGGTTTCTGTTGAGCTGTGATATTGGGACCATTTCATAACCCCAGGCTAGAGTCAAAACAACTATGGCCTTGGGGCATCCGGTGCTTCTATTCCCACTGACCAAGGCTGAGAAAACACCAGGTGGAAGCTTGTTGTTAGCACAGGAGTCGCCTGCTACATGACCAGGAGCTTGATTGGATGAAGGCACGTGATCACCTTTATGGTTGGACAAGGAGCGCATGGACTGTGCGTGATCAGGCACCCGATTGGAGCACCGCCGCATGGACTGTAGCGTGGACTAAGCTTGCATTACATGCTTCTACAATGTTATACTATATAAGCTGTTTGTGATATGGTAAGGGAGCTTCCCCTTTCTTTCGGAGCTCCCCTTGCTGAAGGGTTTCTCTTTCTATCCTGTTTAAATAAAAGTCTACTGAAGACCGATCAGCTGGGAGAAGTGTCGTTCCTTTGCGGGCAAGGGAGCGACACCTCTTCCAGGCTAGCTCTCTGCTGTGGCCAGGGAGTGCAGTGGAGGATGGCCCAAGTGCTTGGGCCCTGCACCCAATGGGAGACCAGGAGAAGCACCTGGCTCCCGGCTTCGGATCAGCGCGGTGAGCCGACCGCAGTGTGTCGGCCACGGCAGCCAATGAAGGGTGAACCAACGGCAAAGGAAGACCTTTCTCTCTGTCTCTCTCTCTCACTCACTATCCACTCTGCCTGTAAAAAAAAAAAAAAAAAAAAAACAGAAAGAAAGAAATAATGCCTTACCAGCAGCTACAGGGCACTCCTTAGACCATGCAAGTTGACACATAAAATTAACCACCATAACCCTGCTTAATTAATTATGAAGTATATATAGGGTTTCTAAGGAGAAACAAAGGACAAAGTTAGTAAGATCAATTATAACTAGATCTTAGCAAAATTTAGACATTTCTCAAAAGTAATGGGGAAACTCTAAATATTTTAATCAATGACTAGATACAAACTATTCTTTAGAGAAAAAAAAAAAAACTGAAGTACGGGCCAGCATTGTGGCATGGTAGGCTACGCTTGGCTGCCACCTGCAACACCAGAATACCATAGGAGCATTGGTTCAAGTCTTGGCTGCTCCACTTTCAATTCAGCTCCCTGCTATTGCGCCTGGGAAAGAAACAGAAGATTACCCAAATATCTGGGCCCCTGCCACCCATGAGAGGGACTCAGATGCAGTTCTGGGATCCTGGTTTTGAGCAGTGACCACTGCAGCCATTAGGATAGTGAACAAGTGGATCAAAGATCTCTCCCTCTCCCTCTCTCTCTATAACTCTGCCTTTCAAATAAACAAATAAACTTTAGCATGGTAAAGTGATGCATATCATTTTTAAATTTTTTTTAATTTTTTGACAGGCAGAGTGGACAGTGAAAGAGAGAGACAGAGAGAAAGGTCTTCCTTTTTCCGTTGGCTTATCCTCCAATGGCTGCCGTGGCTGACACGCTGCGGCTGTTGCACCGCGCTGATCCAAAGCCAGGAGCCAGGTGCTTCTCCTGGTCTCCCATGCAGGTACAGGGCCCAAGCACTTGGGCCATCCTCCACTGCACTCCTGGGCTACAGCAGAGAGCTGGACAGGAAGTGGAGCAACTGGGACAGAATCCGGCACCCCAACCGGGACTAGAACCCAGTGTGCCAGCGCCACAGGCGGAGGATTAGCCTATTGAGCCACAGTGCCGGCTGATGCATATCATTTAAGAAGTAGAAGTAGAGGGCCGGCGCCGTGGCTCAATAGGCTAATCCTCCACCTTGCGGCGCCGGCACACCGGGTTCTAGTCCCGGTCAGGCGCCGATTCTGTCCCGGTTGCCCCTCTTCCAGGCCAGCTCTCTGCTATGGCCAGGGAGTGCAGTGGAGGATGGCCCAGGTGCTTGGGCCCTGCACCCCATGGGAGACCAGGAAAAGCACCTGGATCCTGGCTCCTGCCATCGGATCAGCGCGGTGCACCGGCTGCAGCGGCCATTGGAGGGTGAACCAACGGCAAAGGAAGACCTTTCTCTCTGTCTCTCTCTCTCACTGTTCACTCTGCCTGTCAAAAATTAAAAAAAAAAAAAAAAAAGAAGTAGAAGTAGAAATAGAACAGGAGCCGGCGTCATAGTATAGTAAGCTAAGCCCATGCCTGTAGCCACGCCATCTGGTTCTAGTCCTGGCTGCTCCTCTTCTAATCCAGCTCTTTGCTATGGCTTGGGAAAGCAGCAGCAGATGGCACAAGTCCTTGGACTCCTGCACCCATGTGTGAGACCCAGAAAAAGTTCCTGGATCCTGGCTTTGGATAAGCTTAGCTCCGGCCATTGTGGCCATTTGGGGAATGAACCAGTAGATGGAAGTCCTCTCTCTCTGTCTCTTTCTCTTTGTCTGTAACACTACCTCTCAAGTAAATAAATTAAAATTAAAATTAAAAAATTAAATTAAAATAGAAATAGAGAATAGTGATAAACCAGGTATACAAAGAGAGAGAGAGAGATGGAGGAGGGGAGGAAAGGGAAAAGAGAAAGAAAACATAAGAGCTAGTATAGAATTGAGTGGGCTTAGGTAACATTTAATTGTAAGGGACAAGGGAGAATAAAAAGATAATTTCAAGATTTTAAACTTGGATATCAACAAAGACTGGTAATGTCTCACAAAGAGATAGAGAAGTAAAGAATAGGAAACTGTTGGGGGTAGGGGAATTGGCAGGAGTTGACACGGAGCTTGGTTTTGTCACATATATATATGCCTTAGACCTCGTGCCAAAATGTCCTCTACAAAAATAGCAGATTATGTTGTCAACTCTGAATGCTTGAATACATCAATTTGTCTTACATGTCACTTTTTTGGGACAGTGCCCCACTTTAACTTTGGCCTCCATGCAGATGCTCCTGTAAATCCCTTGCATGGTTCAATAAACATGGACTATGAACCAACATTCTATCCCACTGATGCCAAAACAAAACACTCCAGGATAAATGCAATCTTGCAAATTGTTTCACAGTCCAGCAGTTGCTATTTCATGTCCAAAATTAGAAGACTGCTTCTTTTTATTACAAAACTTCAGATACACATCCATCAAACTCTTGCTTGTTCCTTATGGAGAGGACATCTAAGAACCAAGGAAACTGGTAGACCATTATTTTTCCACGTTAAACCCATTCCAAGTCCATTCAATGCAATTCAGTTTAACAGACATTTGTTTCATGTCTATTTTTCCCAGGACTGAGGATAAAAGTTCAAGAAGCCAAAACATCTACCTTCCGAGAGTCAAAGCCCAGCAGGTGAGACAATGACATACATAAATACGCTCATAAAAGTTATATAATAGCAATATTATAAAAGTCTAGAAATGCTGGCTAAACTACTTTTTTAATGTAGACTTTTTTCATTCATTATTACTTTAAAAAAAATTGTGTGTTTGATTGTTTGAAAGGCAGATCAGAGAAGGAGAGGGAGGGAGGGAGGGAGTCTCCATTTCCTGGTTCATCACAGCATCCAGGGCCAGGCCAGGCTGAAACCAGAAGCTTGAAACTCCATCCTGGTCTCCCACTAGGGTGGCAGGTGCCCATGCACTTAGGCCCATGCACCTGCTGCCTTCCCAGGCACATGAGCAGGGAGGTGGATCAGAGGCGGAGCAGCAGGGACTCAGACGCTGGCACTGCAAGCAGTGGCCCAACCCAATGCAGCCCCAGAAAACTTTCTCCATGCAATATTCCTACACGTGCAAAAATTACAGCATAGAAGTGACATCTGAGAAGGAAAAGAAAAGAAATTTTGAGGCTTTACTATGGCCCTGGTAATCTAGGTAGATTCTCTTATTAAATCTATTTTTTATGATGCAGAAACCAAGTCTCAAAGGAGCTTACTTCAGATTCCCTACTTCCAGAGCTCATGCTCTTTCAGGTGAGTGTCAGTTGCGAGATGAACAATGAGAAGACACCACGTGTGACGGAGGACACAGGAGCCAGCACAGAGACACAAGTGTCTGCCATGTGTGAGAAGAGTGAGCAGTAGAGTGTAACTGGAGCAGGGAAGATTATGGGAACACCGGCTAAAGAGAAGTTTGGGGAGGTCAGATGGAACTAAGTTGCCAAGGCCCTTGTAATTACTGGCAAGTGATCTGAATTAAAATCCTCTGGACCAGCATTTTTCAAACTACAACTATAAGGACAATGCCCACACAAGAAGTTCTGCATTTGTTTATTTTTTACATCTTGAGGATGTTTGGGTAGGATTTATTTTAAGAAAAAAATGAGTTTCATTTCTTTTCTTAAGATTTATTTTCATCTGAAAGAGCTACAACGAGGAGAAGAGAGAGAGAGAGAGAGAGAGAGAGAGAGATCTTGCATACACTGGTCCACTCCCCAAATGACCACAAGAGTCAGGCTGAAGCTAGGGGCCAGGAGACCCATCCAGGTCTGCAGCATGTGTGGCAGGGGCCCAAGCACCTGGGCCATCCTCTGCTGCTTTCCCAGGCACATCACCAGGGATCTGGATCAGAAGTGGAGCAATTGGGACTTGAACTGGTATCCACATGGGATGCTGCTGTCATAGGTGGTGACTTCACTCATCATGCCACAATGCCAGCCTCAAGTTTCATTTCTAAAAGTCATATTTAAAGAAAATCCACAATAGCAAATTGAAGAACAGTACAGCCTTTTAGGAATGAGAATGAGGTTGCTCCATGTGCACATTAGAAAGATTAATATGAAAAAAAAAAAGAGAGAGAGAAGAAAAGAAAGGAAGGTTAAGATGGTGACAAGGAGGGGCTAGTGCTGTGGCACAGCAGGTTAAGCCACTGTCCACAGCGCTGGAATCCCATTTGGCTGCCGGTTCAAGTCTCAGCTGCTCCACTTCCAATCCAACTCCTTGCTAATGTAACTGGGAAAGCAGTAGAAAATGGCCCAAGTGCTTGGGTTCCTGCCACCCACATGGGAGACCCGGAAGAAGTTCCTGGCTCCTGGTTTCAGCCTGGTACAGCCCTGGTCATTGCAGGCATTTGGAGAGTGAACTAGCAGATGGAAGCAAGCAAGAAATTCTCTCTCTCTCTCTCTCTCTCTCTCTCTCTGCCTATCCTTCTCTGTGTAACTCTTTCAAATAAATTAATAAATCTTAAAAAAAAAAAGTAATTATGAGAGAGGCTGCTACTGTGGTGTAGGAAGTTAAGCCTCTGCCTGCAGTGCAGGTATCCCATGTGGGCGCCGGTTCAAGTCCTGGCTGCTCCACTTCTGATTCAGGTCCCTGCTAATGGCCTGGGAAAGCAGCGGAATATGGCCCAAGTCCTTGGATCCCTGCACCCACATGGGAGACCTGGAAAAAGCTCCTGGCTCCTGGCTTTAGCCTGGTACAGCCCTTATCATTGCAGCCACTTGGGGAGTGAACCAGCGGATAGAAGATCTTTCTATCTCTCTCCTCTTTATATATTTCTGTCTTTCAATAAATATTTTTTAAAAAGTAGTAATGAGAGAGACTTAGAGAAAAGTATCTTGAGAGTCAGGCTTATGATTTCTTACAGGCTTAACAAAGCCTCTAAATGCAAGGTGAAATAATGCCATTGTGATTCAAAGGAATTAGAAATCAAGTAAGAGGGTTACTTGCCATCACCGGTCTGCCTGGGCATCCCCATCACCACACTACCAGAAGTAAGGAAAGAGGTCAAGGTAAGTTTTGAAACAACCCCAGAACCTCCAATATTAAGTACGATAACATCCTGTGAAATTCCCAGGATTTAAAGATAACATAGAGGGGCTGGCACTGTGGCGCAGTGGGTTAACGCCTTGGCCTGAAGCACTGGCATCCCATATGGACGCCGGTTCTAGCCCCAGCTGCTCCACTTCCAATCCAGCTCTCTGCTATAGCCTGGGATAGCAGTAGAAGATGGCCCAAATCCTGGGGCCCCTGCACCTGCATGGGAGACCCAGAAGAAGCTCCTGGCTCCTAGCTTTGGATCAGTGCAGCTCTGACCGTTGCAGCCAATTGGGGAGTGAACCATCAGATGGAAGACATCTCTCTCTCTCTCTCTCTCTCTCTCTCTCTCTCTCTCTCTCTGCCTCTCCTCTGTCTGTGTAACTCTGACTTTCAAATAAATCTTTTAAAAAAATTAAAAAATTAATAAAATTTGGGGATCCACATTTCTATAAACACTTTTCAGATTTTCTGTGTGTTAACAGGAATCTCCAAACGGGTATTAGTGGTGCCTCAATCACATGAAGGCAATATAAAACCCACACATGCATAAAAGAAGGGAAGTGAGTGGTGGTTAATTTCCCATAAGACACTCTGTTTCCATCTAGCTCATCCCTGCAGGAGCAACACACTCATCTACACACTCATCCAACGTTCCTGTCCCCAAGAGATGGCTCCAGGTGCATATCCTTCCTTAATTGGCTTCTATCTCACATCTTCCTCTTAAGTTATCATTTTCAAGGATAATTGGTATATGTGAATTCTCATTAGAGTCAGTTTCCTTCTTCTGAAAACGAACTTAAACTGCAAAGAATTTCTTTCTAAGAAAGAAATATATTCTATGTTTAAATAACTTTGTCCCAGTTGTTTAATAACTAGTCCTTTCTACTGTATCTAATGGTGATATAAACAAAGTAACGGCAGAAGACACTTAAGTTAATTATCTGAGCCCCATTTTCAGATAATTGATTAGAATTTATTTATTTTAACAACTGAGGAACAGATTTTGTATTTCTTCATGTTCTTTTCTTTTGCTTACAGGTACCTATATTAATCTGTAAAGTACATATTTTACAAAGGTCACTTGAAAGCTATTTTGCAGTTTTTTTCAGTGTAACAATATTTCTTTAAAAAAAATTATTTATTTGAGAGGCAGGTTACAAACAGATAAAGAGGACCGGCACTGCAGCTCACTTGGCTAATCCTCCCCCTGTAGTGCCGGCACCCCAAGTTCTAGTCCCGGTTGGGGTGCCGGATTCTGTCCCAGTTGCTCCTCTTCTAGTCCAGCTCTCTGCTGTGGCCCGGGAAGGCAGTGGAGGATGGCCCAAGTGCTTGGGCCCTGTACCTGCATGGGAGACTAGGAGGAAGCACCTGGCTCCTGGCTTTGGATTGGCGCAGCATGCCAGCCATAGCGGCCATTTGTGGGGTGAACCAACGGAAGGAAGACCTTTCTCTCTGTCTCTCTCACTGTCTAACCCTGCCTGTCAAAGAAAAAAAAAAAAAAAAGAAAAGAAAAAGAGAGAGAGAGAGAGAGAGACAGGCCATCCATCTACTGATTCACTCCGAAAATGGCTGCCACAGCTGGAACTGGGCAGCTCCGAAGCCAAGAGCTAGGAGTTTCTTCCAGGTCTCCCATGCAGGTGCAGGGGCCCAAGCATTTGGACCATCTTCCACTGCTTTCTCAGGCCATAAGCAGAGAGCTGGACACAAACCAGTGCCCATATGGGATGCCAGTGCCACAGGCAGAGGTTTAACCTACTACGCCACAACGTCGACCCCAACAAGATTTCAAGAACGAGTTTACCACTTTCTACAGCTGCACTCCTTATTTAGAATATGTCATGAAAATGGGGATACTATCAATATAAACTGAGGATGATACAAGAAATTCCCCCGTGAAAGGCACTGCTGTTTAGTGTAAAGATGAGTTGAGTATATTATTCCTTATATTACACAGTGAAGTCCTTTCAATATCCCCTGAGAGGAAATTCTCATCGACCCACATTCCAGGAATAGCCACGTTGCAACTGAGCAACTGACATCACAACTTTATGAACACTGAAAACCAAATAGCTAACTGCTTCCTTCATTGGCTCTGGGTTTGCTTAGCACCAAATCAATATCCTTACCCCTGCAGATGCATAAAATTTTATGACACTTATTTTTTAGAACTAGACTCACTCTGAAATCCATTTTACTTTCCAACCCTTATCTTTCCTTTGCCATAGTTATCGTACCTAATTTTAACTTTTTTCCTTGTTCTAAATATAACTTTCCAAGTTAGCTCAAATTTTTAATCAGAGAAGAATATAGATGGATGGATCAACTGCTGGGTGACTGAAACACATACCTGAAATTACTTAAATTTCCATCCTAAGTCATTCATTTATGTAGGTACAGCTTCTACTAAAGGGAAAGCCAGGTACCATGAGGGATAGAGTGGTGGTCCCTGCTCTTAAGAACTTTGTTTTGTGATGATAATCCATTACATATGACCAATAATGTAGTATAAAATGTAATTGGTGTCATAGGAAAGGAATAAAGAAAGGTCAATGAAAGTCTTATCTGGCAAAGACTGTCTTAGGCCAAGGGCAGTCCACCCAGGTACCCAGTAGAGAAGGCCAGGGCCCTCTTCACACTACTGTTCAGAGCTGTCATGTGAATCAACATAAGTTAGTAAGTACCATTCTGGGCCATTTCAGAAGCAATGCATTCTCAAAATAAGGGAAAGGGGAAGACAACATTTTGATACATCCAGTCCTATAATTTTGAGAGAGTATTCATCAGAGTAAATTCTTCACACATCTGAAAAGCAATCAAGACATAACCTTACTTTTCAGTAAGTGACGAAGATTTCAATGGTCACAAAAGTATTGTATGGGGCTCAGAGCTGTAGAGTAGCAGGTAAAGCTGCCACCTGTAGTACCAGCATCTCATATGGGCACCGGTTCAAGTCCAGGCTGCACCACTTCTAATCCAGTTCCCTGCTAATGTGCTTGGGAAAGCAGTGGAAGATGGCCCAAGTCCTTGGACTTCTGAACCCACATGGGAGACCTGGAAGAAGCTCCAGGCTCCTGGCTTCAGCCAGGCCCAGCTTTGGCAGTTGCGGCCATTTGGAGAATGAACCAGTGGATGGAACACCTGTCTCTCTCTCTGCCTCTGGAACTCTGCCTTTCAAATAAATATTTTTTTAAAAAAGCCTATTATATGCATATGATACTATTATAAATAATCATTTACAGAAGTATAAATTTTTCTTAACATCAAGTTTAGAAAGTCAGTTGCTTTAGAGTTTCAAGAAACTAAGTTTCACATAAGTAGAAAGATTAAATAGGAAACTTCATTTAGGAGATACTTAGAATCAGCTCCAATATGCCCTTTTTAGCTTTTTCTGGGCAAGGTAGTTAGTTTTAGAATGAAAAACTACATTAAGCATGGGGCCAGTGCTGTGGCACAGAGGGTTAAGCCACCACCTGCAATGCTGGCATCCCAAATGAGCACTGGTTTGAATCCCGACAGCTCTACTTCCAACTACTCCCTGACAATGCGCCTAGGAAAGCAGCAGACAATGGTCTAAGTGCTTGGGCCCCTGCACTCATGTAGGAGATTCAGATGGAGTTCCAGGCACCCAGCTGAGGCTTGGCCCAGCCCCAGCTGTTGTAGCCATTTGGGGAGTGAATGGGCACGGAAGGTCTCTCTGTCTCTCCCTCTCTGTCTTTTAACTCTGCCTTTCAAATAAATAAATCTATTTTAGAACACACACACACACACACATTAAGGGCAATATTTCTGGAACATAATACATTGATATCCCTTGAGATAATCATCAGTAAATATTCTTCTTTTAAGAAAAGAAAACCGATGTAATTGTTACACACATTTGGACTCACAGACAACAGCAAGAATCTCTAATAGCTTTACCATGTGCTCTTGTATATCGAAGATGAAGGTGGGTAGGGTAAAGTTTTATTTAACCTGAACACTGTTAACAGAGAGTATCTCGCCGGCGCCGTGGCTCACTAGGCTAATCCTCCACCTAGTGGCACCGGCACACCGGGTTCTAGTCCCGGTCGGGACGCCGGATTCTTTCCCGGTTGCCCCTCTTCCAGGCCAGCTCTCTGCTGTGGCCAGGGAAGGCAGTGGAGGATGGCCCGTGGCAGCCATTGGAGGGTGAACCAACGGCAAAAGGAAGACCTTTCTGTCTCTCTCTCTCACTATCCACTCTGCCTGTAAAACAAAAAAAAAAAACAAAAACAACAACAAAAAAAAAAACAAACAAAAAAAAAAAAAAAAAAAACAGAGTATCTCAGCATTTCACAGCTACTAG